AAGCTGGATATACACTGAAAAATTAAGTCAAGAAGTGTTCCTATTTTGGGGGTCATGAATAGTTCTATGAATAGTGGTGCTATTTACTGAGATGGAGATGACTAGAAACAGTAGAGTCTACCATGGACTAGAGTTTGATATGTCCTCATAAGACATCAAATAAGGATGGCAAATAGTCAGCTGGATATGCTAAGCACTATTTGAGACAGAGGAGATGAAATGGTATATTGGAAAGACAAAGTTGTGCTCTCATGGTACTTACACTCCTCTGAGCAATGATTAGGGCATTTTGAGACAGTAAGTATAAAGATGTGTTTAAATCCCTAAGACTAAATGAGAGATCCTAAAGTCCAGATGTGGTTGCATGGCAGAATTCTTGCATTTCATGTGGGAGACCCCAGTTTGATTTCTGGTTAATGCACATCAAGTGCAGCCACAACCCATCAGTCAGTGGAAGCTTGTGTTTTGCTCTGATTATGAACAGGTTTCAGGAGAGATTCTGGGCTAAAATGGAGTAGGAAGGAAGGCTGGGAATCTCCTTCCAAAAATCAACCAATGAAAACTCTATGAATCAGAATAGTCCATTGTGCAAGGGGGGCCCACCACAAGTCCAACAATGACTAGACATCCGCTAACAAGAACAAAAACATGCTGATGGTGGAAAGAAGACTAAGGATTCAGGCCCAGGTTACTGCAACACAGTTTCCAGTTAGAGACAGGTAACTTTGGTGAGTAAGCTTCTTTTTGGATGCTATAGTTGATCTCCATTTTGGTATAACACACTACTAAAATGCCCAAAGTATTTAAGGGAATTTCTTTTTAAAAAGCATTTATATAATCATTCATGAATTCTCTATTCAACAATTTTAAAAACAAAAAATTAATATCCATATCAATATAATAATTTTAAGGGATAGGTGATACAGTAAGAAACACAACAAACAGAATTCTATAAATTTCTACTGTCTCCTTGAATTCAGATATGGAAACTTCTTGGCCTAAAGTAGGAAGAATAGGGTTTGCACAATGGCTGGAAGTTTTGAGCTCACCCACAGGCATCTCAAGGAAAGGCCTATCAATCTACTTTTGAAAAATCAGTGATTGAAAATCCTTTGGAACATAGTATTACTCTGATATACACAGTGTCTCCATGAGTCGGAATCCACTCCATGGCAACTGGCTTTAGTTATACCAAATAGTATTATAATAAAGAAAGCACAGTAATAGCCAAGACCTCAACTGTACACAGCCAAAGGCAGAAAAATTTTACTATATCTCCTTTAAATGCAAATCATTCAAAATATTATTCAAGGAACACCCTTACCCATTTTCTTCATTCTTCAAATATTTCTCTAATTCTCATCCACAAGGCCAAAGAAAAAAAACAGAAAAGAGGAAAATATTTTTATAGTATTCATTAAAAAAAAAGAAGAACAAAACTGCACATGAGAAGTAAAGTTAACCCCTAAAGATTACAGGAACTACTCAAGCAGATATTCCTAGACACAAACGCACACCCCGCTACATACATAAGCCCCTTCATTTATATATTTATACACACACACACACATATATATATGTGTGTGTATATATGTGTCTCCAACTGTATGCAGGTTGCTTATATGTCCATATTTTTATTGTCAATTTATATGCTACTTTATAAAGGTTGTCCAGGTTTGAGGTGCCCAGATTTGTCATATTTGTATGATTATGGCTTTTTATTTTAAAGATACTCTTGTTTAATGTTCTATGAAATCCTTTTGGTTTATGGTCCACATGTTCCATAGAATCAAAGGTTATTCAAACAAAGCCAAATCGAACGTAGTATTACTGCATACTTGCAAGAATAAATTTCAGGTTACTTATATGCAATCTAAGATCTGATTTGGACTACATATGGCTACAATAATGAGCCCATTACTGAACGAAGCACTTTAGCAAAATGTATAACCTATATAAAAGATTATACATCTGTACTATGCACACACATTATCTTTATATCTCAAATATCATGTGTGCCATTTTCATTTAAGAATAGTTAAGGAGTAAAGATGAGAAAACTATTCTCATTTTTAAAGCATCTCCTAACATGCATTATAAAACTATCAGATTGGCATAATGTATGGGATACAATATGCATATTGATGCAATTAAAATATATTGTGAGTGTCTATATTAGATCACTGCAAATGACTATAAAACTCTATTCTTACTTTAAAAAAGAAATGAAAATCTGGAAAATGAAAACTGAACTCAATATATATTTTACTGTATAATAATTGAGAGAAATGCAGTTGGTTAATTAATCTATGTCTCATGAAAAACTCTCTACTTGTATTCCAAATACAAAAGTTTGTCTGGAGTTCTCAAATAACTTAATATTTATTGTCTGGATTCTTACACAGATGGGATACTGAAAAATCATAAATAATATTAGCACATATCTTCTTTGAGGAGGTAAAACTCTTAACATTTTTCATGTACTATAAAAATGCACATATAAATAACCCACCAAGCAAATTTCAATGCAAATCTATGTATCATTTGTCACTGAATAAAATTAATTTCTGTGTCTAGCACTAGGATGGCCAGTATATCTTTGAAATGGTACAAGCGTCTCTAAATTTGAAATTCATGGGGAAAATAAGCACACACTTCTAAGAAGGATAATAAGTAAATAGAAACCTTAAGATCTTGGAAGAGTAGGGAAGCTTGAGATCCTCGAAACCAGCCCACTCATGTATGTGTAAACTCAGTCCCACTGTGCTGAAACAGCCTAGAGGGCAGTGTTGTCTACAACCCAAATTTTCAACAATCCCCATGAAGTGGCTGTTATCACCATAGAGTAAGCCAAAGGCAATCCAATGTCAAGCATATGCTTTGCATATTAATTTAGTAAGAGTGTCCACATTTCCTTTGCTTTTGATACATGTGATGCTGAAATAAATAAATAGAAATAGTTTCACATATACAAGATATAACATTGCCATTTGTTTCAACTCATCAACCCAGAGCATTTTTCACTACATTTCTATGAATGTTGTTGCATAATTTCGACCCAGCCACAAACTTCCCAGTATCCTATAATGTTAAATCAGAACAAAGGTTCTAGGTGTGTCTCTAGAACAGAAGGGGGTGCGTGTAAAAGACAAGAAAGGAAAGAGGGAAAGTAAGGAGAAAAAAAGGAAGAGGAGGGAAGGAGGAGGGGGAGAGAAATGATGTCTTGCTACTGCTGTTCCAGCAAGCTAGTTAACTGCATTTGTTTCATATATGTACCTCCAAACACCCTAGTACATTAATTACATCCTGTAACACTAAGCTCTTCTGATTCACTGTCACTTTCACTGAGCAATTTCATTGTATTCCTCCTAGCTACACACTGATTTTTTTAAAAGTAGTACTTGGTTATAATTCTGTAGTCCAATACATATACTTTATACATGCATTTCTAGCACGGAAATATGGTTTCTGTTGACATACCCAAAGAGTTATGCCAAAGCCTTCTTATCATGGCAATCAAACACATCTGGTACAAATATGAAACCTTTTTGTTATTTGTAATAACGTAAACGTATTTCAGAAGAAAATGTATGGAGATTGATGATAGATCTTGCCACAATATATTTCACAACCTCTAAATGTCTACTACTCAGAAGGTGAAAATAGAGAAGTAGTGTACACATAGGCATGCCTTGCCTACTATTGCTGGTGGGGGGGTGAAGGTACTAAGGTAGTCCATGATTGAAAATAGCCACTAGACAGTAAGTAAACTCATCTGTATTTCCTCATCTTTACATCTTTAAGTCTTCAGTTTTGGTCTGATAGGTTGAGTTCTGTGAAATAACAGCTGCTGGTAACAAAGTGTCCCAAATAATTAGTTCATCCACAATGCAAATGCTGGAGGAAAGTTTACTGAGCAACAAGCTGCATTGATGGTTCAAATATCTGGACCAACACACCTTAGGTTCTTTACAAATAGAGGAATTTAAAGTCTGACATCCTACAATCCATATTTTCACTTAAGAAAGATTTATGCATGTCCTCTCTTTACCTTATACCATCCCTTTTCCATTGATATGAAAACTAGTCTCCTGAAGGTAAATACCAATTATTCCTTCTGCTTTCTTCTTTTGAAAACAAGCAGAGAGAGGGAAAAAAAAAAAAAGAACTGTATTAATAATTATGTCTGCTCTTCATTCAAAAGAGCTACAGAAAGGATTTTGCCATATCTCACAAGAAACTGATATCCTGTGAAAATACTCCAGGAAACCAAATCTGAACAAAAGACAGGGGAGTCACATGCAGAATGCTGCCCGCTTGACAGACTGACTCAACCTAGAGGGAGACACCTAAAGCACCTGTTTCAGATCCCCATTGTGTTTGCCCACTTGGGACTGAGCTGAATGCTCCTCGCCTGCAGCCCGCCCATAGCTCAAGCTGCCCTCCCTTCTTCCCCTTTCCTGAAGCCTCCACCAATTTTACTTTTGACAGTTTTTCCCCCCTTGAGCTCTAAATTCTTCATTCTGATTACACACTAGGCGAGCATTCTCCAGCACATAGGTGATGCACATTGATCCCTGAGATATCCTGCCTCCAATTCCAAACCAATTGTACCTTTGCTGAAGTGTCTATTGCTCTACATCTTCAGCTGAATTTCTAAGCCAAAGTTCAGGCAAAAGAACAAACACCAAGAAAAGAGAGCAGAGACAATAGTATAGGGTCTTTTAAGAGATTTACGTTAATAATTATTTTTCTAACAAGACTGGGAGCCCATCGTTCATCATCCTAGCTGTCAATTAATTAAGTAAACAAAAGGTGACTCCTAACATGTTCCACTTTCAGTAGTTATAGAAACAAAAGACTTAAAAGCTCTGCCACCAAAGAGCTCCATGCCTAGCCAAGATGGACTTACAGACACCCACATCATTTTGTGTAGAGCACGCATTCAACTCAAAAAGAAGTATTTTGGGGAAAAATGGATAAAATCATTTTTAACTTACCATCAACCCGAACATATAAAAATCCACAGAGCAGTAGTTGTGTAAACATCAGCAGACTCATTTTGACATATTAAAAAGGATCCAAATTGCTTAAGAAACCAATCCCAGAGAGCAAAAGTACAAAAATAAGTATTAAAAAAAGAGGTAGGTCCAAACTTTAGACTTTCCTAGATGCTAATTAAAGTCAAGAAGAGCAAATCGCAAGAGTAAACAGGGTTGGTGGGAAGATCATGAATGGGACACATTTAGATCCATCCAAATTAGCAGAGGACACTCCAAAGGCTGCTGTTATTTCCACACTCTGGCTTCCTAAATTCCCACAAATTCAGCCCAGCCGGAGGGATTAAAGTGTGTCTAACCCTCTCTGAGACTCCATTGCAATCCAAAGCCAAGTTCTTTCTTCAGAAGTCAAAAAGATGAAGGGGAAGGAAAAAGATCTAATTCCTAGAAAGTGTTCCACAAACTTGCCAGTGCGCCACCGAAAAACCATTGGCCTGCCTACTGATTTTCTTTCCCCCAGATCTCCTTCTCCGTAGCACAGCTCCAAGTCCAGAGTTTTTTCACTTAACTTCCATAATAAGGGTGAGTCAAAGCAACATTTTGCAGGCGGACTGACTTGGCGGGCCTTTCCTCTGCAGCCTTTTTCTCCTCCTTCCACCTCTCTTGCTTTCAAAACAGCGGAAAAGGGAATCTGGAGGACTTGGAAGGAGAATCCGAACTCCTACGAGGTGGGGCAGAAGGGAAGGAGGGAGGGAAGGAGGGAGTGAGTGAGGGGCAGGGCTGAGGCTGCTGCCGCCCCCGCCGTGCCGCCTCCGTGCGCTTGGGATCCCAGACGGCTGTGGGCTAGAGCAGAGCCCGGCGTGGGATCCCGGGCGCCGGGAGCGGGAGACGGAGCGTGAGGTCCAGCCGCTAGTCGCGGTCCAGCCGCCAATCCCTGTCCGCCCGCAGCCGCTGCCGCTGCCGCTGCTCTGGCGGCCCCACAGCACGGCGTCCGCCTCCTCCTGCAGCTGCCGCGGGTGGAAGGACTAAGAGGAGGGAAGACGAGAAGGCGGGAGGGGAGGGGAGGAATGAAAGCTGCTTGGAGTCTGCCCCAGAGAGGGGGGAAGAGGAGGGTGTGGGGTGCACTGAGCCCTCCACCTCCAGACTCCGCCACCCGCCTGCGCAGGGAGCGCCACCCCGCTAAGGGCGACGAAGGGGGGCGCTGAGAGTTCACAGGGGACGGAAATGAACAAATTCGGGGCCCCGCAAGCTGCAAAGGGCAGAGGCAACCGGTCAACTCCTTCCCTTCCAAGCCCCTCCCCCGCTTTCCGCCTCAGACAGGGGTAGGTAGGCTGTAGCCTCCAGCTCCTTGCCGCGTCCCTGTTTAATGGGCAGGTAATTTTCTCAGTGAGTGATTTCATGGAAGCCCTTCCTAATTATTCATCCCTCCGTCTGCCGGAGATGCACGCGCTTTCTGGAAAAAGATCATTCCCCAGACCCAGGGCGCAGCCTCATTACCCGTTAAAATCTCACAAACACTCACTCCTCACCTTTTTGCAAAATGAGAAACCGAGCGGCAGAGAAAAGAAAACTGAATATAAGCACCTTTGGAGAGGAAAGGTTGTGTGTGGGTGTTTTCTATGTCGTTAAAAAAAAAGGGTGGGGGTGGCTGTACGGAAAAAATCTGTACCCTCTGCTCTTTTAAGCCAAAATCTATGACCCTCTGCGGAATTCTGGTGGGGGGGTTGGGGTAGGAGGTGAAAGGGAAGGGGTGAGATCCTGTCTTGTTGCCTCAGTCGCATTACGACCCCTTAAAGATGAGTTTGATGTGGGATCGTGGAATGCGAGTGAGCTCAGCAAAAGATGTCGAGGATAGGAGGCGGGTAGCACAGAGCTTGTGGGATACTCGAAGCCTATACCTTCTAGAGACTGGCAACTTGGAAAGGAAATTTGGAAAACATAAGCCCCAATCGAGGAAAGGTGAAAACCCAACGAGCTAACAGAAGCTCAAAAACAGTCGAAATTCCAGCCAAAGACAAAACCTCACTGTTCTGAAACTTAAGGCAAAAAATAAAGCACCAAGTTAGCGTGATTCCGGACCAAAGATGATTTAAGAAGGCCAGGCTTGATCACAAGCATGCGGGTGTTTGCGGTGCCCCTAGTGCTACCGTGCCCACGTGTTATCTCGGTTTCGCTGGTAGCTATTTGATGCTTGTTCGGGTGATTACAATGCGGGTTTTAGAACTCACGCAGGTCCAGAAACCAAGCTAATGGTGAGTCTTTAGTTCCACCTACTGGAAAATATTGGGAAAGATTCTCTCGGGTTAAGGAAGAGACTTTTGTCTGGTGTTTATATATTTTGGTGTTGCTATTTAATTTAGCGCTTTCTTGCCTATTTTGGGCGTGATAATGCGTGTTTTAAAAAAATGGTCAGCGACAGTCATGCAGTTAGGGGAGCTTTTCTGGCGTATGCTAGAAAATTATGGTAATGAACTAGTTTTGCAAAAGAATAAAACAAAACATCCTTCTTGTGAAGCATTAGGAGGACACTTTTGATCTACAGTATTTAGTTGTTTTTTAAAGGCATTACTGTGCTGAAGTTAAGTCACTTGAATTGCCACAGTAGTGATTCTGAATGTTGTATTGTTTTAGCCTACAGAGGGCGTGGGATGGAGTGGAAGGAAAGCTAAGTCATTAAGAGAAATTAAGTTCATATGCTTTGTCAAAAGGCTGAGAGGTCTAAATTTGATGATAATGTGGTCTACAAAAATCCAGTAAAATCATTTAATCAAAATCCCTTTTATGATTCTGTAACACAGGAAAATAATTTATAATTCCTTAAAACTTTCATTTTAAGCAACTGGACTAGGTTTAAAGTTGAAGATTAGAAGTTCTAGTTCATGCCTTTGGATAATATATCCCCCACAACTCTATAATAGTAAATCTCTTCATATTGGAGCAATGAAAATAGTCTCCTTAATAAAATATTTCAGGGCATCATATACACATATAAGCCCTTTAATTTCAGGATGGATCTCTGAAAAGAAGATATTGCAACAATTTACCTGGAGTTTTTCCATGGCTATTTATTTATTAAGCAAAATATAGAATCTATTTTATACTTGATAGACTCACCCTTCCTTAAATGGCCTGAGAGTCTCTAAGAGGAAGAAGGGGTAGGAGTAAGTTGTTGTTGTTGTTGTTGTTATGTGCCGTCGAGTCGGACCCGACTCATAGCGACCCCTCCTTGGGTTTCCGAGGCAGTATCACTACGGAAGTAGATTGCCCCATCTTCCTTCCGAGAGGAGTAAGGTTAGGTTGAAGAAAAAGGATTACTAAACTTCTGTTGCTTTGAGGGCAGAAAAGTTTTAGCCCATAGCTCACAAAAACATGTCCTTGTGTGGAGAATGACAAATGACCTAATACAGAGAAGAAGTTTATTTAAGGGACAACTATTTAGTTATATTTACTTGGCATTTTGTGACAAGCATCATCAATTTGCATTCATAATTACTTTACCTACTAAAAGGGCAAAGCAAGACAGTGGTTTCAGACTAGTACAATCTTTTTGCTATATACTCCCTAGATTGTGGACTCAAACATACTAACACTTTTGAAGGTAGAACAGGATAGGAATGAGCAAAGCATTTTTGTATAATACTTGTTACACAAAAGATGAGCCTGAGCTAATGCCGACCCCATGGCAACTACCACCACCATCACCACCTCCTACATTATGGAGTAACCTCTGTAACAAAGAATACCATCTTTTCTGGTTTTCTTTAAAACAGGCTCATAGTTATTATTACTTTCTTTAAATATAATACTTTATTAATATCCTGCTTCATATAAAATACAACAAAGCAAAACTGATTTTATAAGTATCTCATCATAAGCCATGGTGTAGGATTACAACCAAAAGTCTAAGAAATACATATATTTCAATAAAATTTTAGCACTACCTATGTGAGCAATTGATTTTTCACTTTTTTTTCTTAAATTAAAGGAATCCCTTTAAAGCCTGAACCTTCTAATAGAACTTACATATTTAATTTTACTAATTAATCTATCATAAACAGTTCTTTAGCTAAAAATATAGTTTGTTTTGTTTTGTTTTTAGGTTTCTATTAAGAGGAAAGCTAGAAATGACTCAGAACAGTAAATCCTTGAAGTCCCAACTCAGAAGATTTAAGATACTTAAAAATAAAATTGGGATTTGCTTTCAGTATCTTGCCAAATATGAATTGTTTTTTTTCTTCTCTAAACAAACAGCTCAAAAGAAAAATGCATGGAAATCTAGTCTCCTTTTATGTAAAACTTGGAATGGTATTATTATGTACTCAAAATGTGCCTACCAGATAAATATATGTCTTAATCCATCTAAGATTACTCTAAGCGGGAGACTATAATTAACCCTAATTTGAGTAAGGTGATCAAATGAATTTCATTGTGATTGCACTACTGGTTTGACATTCTTGGAGAACCATAAAATAACCATCTCAGAGCAATATGCACAATAAAGGAAATAAAATATTAAATATTTATTTTCCACACTAGATTCCCCAAGGGTGTGGTATAAATTTAAAAACCCCAATCCATTTTTTTACTCTTTCCAGCATGTTCTCTTTGTAATTACAAGGGAGCATACCAAGACAAATCAAAAGTTTGATACATAATAATAATTTTAATATATACTATCACATGTTGAGCACTCACTATTTGTCAGGAGCTGTTCTAGTTCATTAAACTTCAATATATCATTTAATTTTCATAATATCCATGTGGTTGATATTATCCCCATTTTACAGATGACACCATTTAAGATTAGCTATCTAACTCAAGTTAAGAAAAGATGAGTTCGTTCTTTAAATCCAGATCTGTTGAACAATAAAAAGTATATTGCTATTAGCCTATGCTTTCTGAGATTGATTCGAGATGTCTTCTACATTGCAGAAATACTATAATAATTTAAAAAATTGCTTTCTTAGATCATTTAAAAAAAACTCCTGTTGCACAAAACATAAGTATGTGAATTTTTTTTTTTTAATTTTAAGAAAACGGAAGAGCCTTTTTAAAGTATTT